CAAAGCCAAATACTCTGCTTGATTTAAAAATATAATTTAATTTAGCATTTCATAAATTAGGTGGTTGACAAAGATCAAACTGTTACAGTAAGCCAAATTTTTTGAAAGTAGTCTTTGACGAAAGTAACTTTAAAAACAGTATTGAACTGCCATTTATTTAAACAGTCAAAAAGGGGATGTTTTTTTCCCTCAAGACCGACCGACCTGTTTGGCAAAAAGAGTTTTAGGAGACACTAGAAAAAGTGTACCTATTCTTTTTCATTCTTTCAGAGCTATTCTTGACTTTAATAAAAATCTTAAGTATACACTGAATATATTTCACTAACATCCTGTGAAAATCCTTCTTGATGTATACCTGAAATGCTGGTGGCTGAACAGACTAGTAGTTGAACTAACATTCCAACTAAGAACAAGCATGAGAAATGTACCAATTCTAAATTATTAAAGCATTTCTTAGACATGTGCTGTATTTGGATCTCTACTTGTAGAGCCGAGTAGACAAATACACTTCCCATTGCAGTGGATTTTCCTGTACGGTCTGAGAAGAAATCAGTCAGCAGGATTCTGTGGTTTTCGCCTCCTAATAAAATTGAACTTCAAAAAGAAGGTCCGGTCATTGCAAACACAGGTAAATGCCTTTGTAATGCCTTTAGTGACAACGCCAGTTTTAAGTCTTTCACAATCAGCATAGAAGAGGCATCAGCACAATAAGAACTAATATTATCAAAGTTTTGGACAAAGGGTAATGTAATGGGAAGGATTTTGATTGGATGCTGGTATCTGTCTCTTTCCTCTCTCGCTTCTCTAATTCTCCCTTTTCCCAGTCCATTTAACCTGTGAATCTACTGTGTTGGTCAGCAGCTTTTATCCCTGAGGTGACAGCTACAGCGTCCCCCACTTGCTGGGAAAAGATGGAACCACACGGAGGCACAAAAGAGGAGAGCAGTCGAAAGGAAGGCTAGGCCGTGACAAGAAAATCAGGGCACGATATAGGAGATACGACAAAAATGTTCCTTGGCATTTTTGGTATCACTTGATGTTGTATATGTTTAGCATCACAATTCTGCCACAATGTTGATGTATTCCTTTCCATCCTATGCCAAATATGATTACATAGCAGAAGAGAATGTTGGAATCTTAGAAAACTCTACATACTTTCACGAGAACTGTTGAATTATAATTTCATCAAAATCATGAAACCAGGACCCAAAATCTACTCCTCAAAAACTGAGCATAGCATTATTGATCTCTCAGGGGTGTTTCACGTTTGTTTGCTTTTTAAGTCCAGATATTTTTCTTCCTAGTAATCAGATTCAAAAAATAAGCCATACAGACTTATTAATCTGAGCAGCTAAAGCATTTTCTTATCAACTTAAATACTAATAAAATTCCTGAGCTTGGGGAGATTTTAAACATCTTTCACATCCAGTGTGAGTACTGTATCACCAAGGAGAGCTATGAAACCGTCATTAACATAAATATTTTAAAAATTGTGTTTAATTCCCAATTTATATGATAATTTCTGTTTATGTTTAAAAAACAGCAGGTGCCACTGTGTTCTCTGAAGAAGCTAACTTCTTGGTGCATATTTTTCTCCCTGAACAAGTAGCAAGTTGGGAGCCACTTTCAGAATTATATTTGCAGAATTTGCACCCTAATTTCTGTCAAGTCTTAGATCAGGAGCTATGCTACAAGCAGATTATCCTTCAAGTCATTGCCCTTGAATGGGAAAATCAAGACTTTGAAAGAGATCGACTAGTGTTTACCCTACATTTGAACTGACAAAATACTGGATACTGGGCTTCCAGTCTGAAGAACCCGTGGAAAACTAAACTCTCCTCACTGATTTGAGGAGACTACTGGGCTATACTGGAGAGACTGAAGCCAGGTTGCTCTGTCTGGCACTTGTGAGATGACACCTGTGTACTGTATCAGCCTCCTCAGTAGAAGACAGACCCCGACATGCCGGGCTGATTTCAACCAGGGCCACCAAGATGGGAGGGCTGGAGCACGTGACATTCACGGACAGTCTGCAAGAACTCTGCTTGTTCAACTTTAAGAAGAGAGAGCAAAGAGGGGGAATCTTATCGCATCCTACAACTGCCTAAAGGGAGGTTACAGGCAGACTCTTCACAGTTATGAGAGGCAAGGAACAAGTTGGAAAATGGAAAATTCCAATAAGATAAAAAGTAGGTTTGTGGGGCCTGATGGATTTTCAGGTATTTGTTCTTTCTACTGTCAAGGTGTAACAGGTTGCTTGTGTTGTAAGTTCCCATAATGACTTGCCCATTTTGCTTGTATCTTCTGCAGAACCTATATTGTGAACATTCTTAAGAAGATGTCTGGAAAGAAATCACAATTTATGGAAACTAGACAGCGTCTTCTGAGATACTTCAGGAGGACTCTAGAGCTAACATATTAGCAGGAAATCAGAAGATCATAAGTGGTATCACTAACTTTGCAGGAAGCAATTTCCTTCAGATAATCTGAGTTAATACCTAATTCCCTTCACTCTGCAAAGACTAGAAGAACATATGATGTCTTCCAAAATATTCCAACTCTTGAATTGGATGGGGAAGTATTTAGGAAGAGTGAGAAGATGGTGAGTCTCCATAAAATATGTAATCAGGTCAAGTTCTGCAAGGTTTGTTAACTGCCTTTGAAACTTAGCTTACTAGAGCTACTGTATGAAATGCTTATCAGTCACTGCACTTTTAAAAAAAGTCTCTGTAATTCAAATTGAAACTAATTTAATGAATGTTGCTACCCAAAACAAAGCTTGAATTTGCAACATGTTCTAATACTGGTTTCTTTACTCTTTGTACTTTAACCTCTCTCTTCCATAACTTTGGTTAATGTCTTTAAGATTGTGTTCAACTATCAGGCAATTATAGAAGAAATGCTAAAATTAGAACAAATATTGAAGTCTGTTTATGACAGTTCTCCATGTACATAAACATATTTGGTTCCTGGACCTTAGGTTAATCACCCAATAGATGTTAAATTCCTTCATGGAATCATAGAATTATTCAGATTGAAAAAGTCCTTTAAGATCCTCAAATCTAACCATAAACCTAACACTGCCAAATCTATCACTAAACCACATCCCTAAAGATTTCACGTTAAGGGTTTTCATTTTTTTTTTCACTTCTTTTTCCCCTGGGATCATGAATAAATGAGGTACTTGCAGTATTTATGGCATTACAATAAACTGTATGCCACAGATATGATTTCGACTTTGTGGTAATGCTATGGCCTTTATTATTATTATTTTTTTTAATTATCTTTCAAAAGAGAAAGGCTCTAAAGTGTGGATCTACTGTTTTATGCAAGTTTTAGACATAATTCAGGAGCCTTACCTTGAAAATATACACCAACATATGAATATTATCTTGGCTAAGGTTAAGCATCCTGATTAGGCTTCTGACAGGAGCTATCTCACAATATATACTTACTACATTCTAAAACACTGCCCTGCCACTAGAAAATTCTCAATGATGCTGTTATTTTTACTACCAAAGCTGATTTCTGTAGCTCTATCCATTTTCAGACATAAGAGATCATGCAGAAAAATACAGCATTCTCCTTGTAGCCAAGCCTCTTTAAAACCATGAATAATGATGGAACTCATTCTGAATAGAATCTCATAAAAAATCAATTAAACAAAATAACGAAGTTATTCTGAGAAGTACTTTAAAGTTTTTGAATATAATAGATTTTTGACAATAACAGTTTTTCAACTGAGATGTGGTAGCATTTCACTGTGGGAAAGAACCATACCACAAACATGGTTAAATTAGAAAAAAACCCCAGAACACCAAAATTCTAAATATCTCTTGGGTATTCTGCCAAATCTTTGAAAAAATGTCCTCCTAACCCATTTGTGTGGATAAAGGGGAGTCCACCACAGAAGACAAAAACCTGATAGGCTTCCTCCTGTCCTGCTGGGGACACAACATCATGTTATCCCCTCCTCAATCAGAGCGCTCCATTTTCGAAGTAGCACAACTAGCTTTTAACACTGCTAACTTCAATTAATGAAAAATATTTCAACAGAAATTACACAAAAATCTCATACAGTGGCCTAGTACTTCCCTATTTTTATTGAAGTTACATAAGATAGTAATAATATTTTTTTCTTAGATGCATCACACTGGCAACTCCACAC